CGGCAGCGACGACGGCGGCGGCGGCGGCTGCAGCGACGGCCGCGACGGCGGCGGCGGTGGAGACGATGGCTGCAGCAGCTGCGGCGATGGCGGCTGCGGAGGCGGTGGAGGAGGAGACACCGGGGGAGGGGCAGACGGCGAGGACTGCGCCGGAGGACTACCAGAGTCAGAAGACTCGTCGACCGGGACGACCGACGGGAGGGGGGTGACGTGAGACACACCAGAGGGGGCCGGACGGGGGGGCGGGGGGGGGGAGGGGCAGGGACCACCGGGGAAGGAGGGACCAGGAATAGGGGGGGAGTAACCGGGGGACCACGGTGAGGGAAGCGGCGGTAGAAGGAGACGGACTCGTCAAAGGTGACGTCGCGAGAGTGAAAGAAGCGGTGGGACGGCGGGTGGTAGAAGTGCCAGTCGGACGCGTCAAGGGGGAAACCGAGGAAGACGCAGGGGAGGGTGCGGGCAGTGAGCTTGTCCGTGCCAGAGGCACGAACGTGAGCAAGGCAGCCCCAGACGTGGAACGCAGACGCGTCACCAGGGGACCCGGTCCACAGAAGGGTCGGCGAAACCTGCGGCCGCTGGGGGTGCGGCCACAGGTTAAGCTGGTGAGCGGCGTAGCGCACGGCAAACGGCCACAGAAAATGGGGTGCACCGGCGTGGATCATGGAGGTGCGAGCTACCTCCATGACCAAACCGATGCGTCGCTCAGCGACCCCATTCTGCTGCGGGGAGTCCGGCAGGGTAAACGTCTGGGTGATGCCCTCCGCACGACAGAAGCGACCAAGGACACCTGAGGCAAACTCGCCACCCCGGTCGGAGTGGAGGCGCAAGGCAGGGAGACCGCGGTGGACACGAGCAGAGACAAGCCAGGGGATGAGGGCGTCAGGCACGTCGGCCTTCCGCTCCAGGGGAAAGACTGTGGTGTAGCGCGTGAAGTCGTCGACAAGCACTAGGAAGAAGCGCTCGCGACGCGGCCCATGGACCGGGGCTGGGCCCCAGACGTCCATGTGCAGAGTCTGCAGTGGTGCGGTGGTAGGGGGAAAAGAGGAGGAGTGAGGGGCACGGCGGAGCCGGCCCTCGACACAAGGCGTGCACTGGGGGGCGGGGGAGGAGGGAAACTCGGGGAACGAACCGGGGAGACCAAGGACGAGACCGTGCTGGGACATGTGACGCAGACGCGGGAGTGCAGGGTGACCAAGGCGGTGGTGCCAAAGGAGAGTCGGGTGAGTGAGGGACCGACAGGAGCACGCAGCAGCAACCTGGGTGGACGCAGCTACCTGGGGGGAAGACCCAGCCGGGGAAGTCGCGCTGTCAAGTGTGAACAGGCCGGACACCGGGTCCCGGGGGAAAGTGGACAGGTGGGCACCAGAGGCGGCCTCGGTACAGACAGCATACCGCTCGTGACCAGGGAACGTAGTGGTGACGCCAAGGTCCTGGAGGCAGCCGACACCAACTAGGTTCCTGGAGAACGAAGGGATATGCAGACCGGTGAGCGAACCTGAAGGAACCGCCGGACAGGGAAGGGAGGTGGAACTGCGGGCAACGACGGGACCACCGGAGGGGTCAGCAAGAGTAACTGCGGCGGGAACAGGCAGCGGCGTCAGCATCGTGGAGTCGCGGAAGAAACACCGAGAGGCGCCAGAGTCCAAGGTGAAGGAAAGCGCAGCAGTCGCGCAGGGCGGCAGGGAGGCAGTGGAAGCACCGAGGCTAAGCAAAGCAGAAGAGCCTACGCCTGACGCAGCAGGGGAGTCTACGCTAGGCAACAGCTACACTAGGCAACACGGGGTAATAAGAGGGAAGCACACTAGAGTCATCAGCATACATCACATGCAAGGCTGCTACAATGGCATCCATGTCCAAGTCAAAAATCCGAATGCTACGCCTAAGCAAGCTGTGCCAGTCCGGGAGGTCGGGCGCCGGGCCAAAGCGCTGACGGAACAGGTCGTCCAGACGACGAAAACAGCGAGGAGTGGAATGACCGATCTTACCGCAAACGAAGCCGCGGCGAGGACCGGTCTGGATCTGGTACTGACAGGGCCCGCCTCCAGAACCACCACCCGGTGCACCACCACGCGCACGACCACCACCAGCTCCAGGCCACCCAGGCGGGAGAGCACTCGCCTGCCTCGTCTGCGGCGGCTGCTGCGAAGGCTGCGGCTGCGGCGACTGCTGCTGCTGCTGCTGCTGCAACTGTGGAGGCAGTGGGGCCGCTGGACCGGGCAGGGTCCCTTTCCCCCTGCCCTCCTCTCCCTTTCCCCCTGCCCTTCTCTCCCTTTCCCCCTGCCAATCTCTCCCTTTCCCCCTGCCCGTCTCTCCCTTTTCCCGTGCCCTCCTCTCCCTTTCCCCCTCCCCTCCTCTCCCTTTCCCCCTGCCCTCCTCCCCCTTTCCCCCTGCCCTCCTCTCCCTTTCCCCCTGCCCTCCTCTCCATTTCCCCCTGCCCTCCTCTGTATTTCTCCCTGCCCTCCTAAACCCCTTCCCCCTCCCCTTCCTCTCCCTTCCCTCCTGCCCTCCTCTCCCTTTCCCCCTGCCCTCCTCTCCCTTTCCCCCTGCCCTCCACTCCCCTTCTCCCTGCCCTCCTCTCCATTTCCCCCTCCCCTCCTCTCCCTTTCCCCCTGCCCTCCTCTCCATTTCCCCCTCCCCTCCTCTCCCTTTCCCCCTGCCCTCCTCTCCATTTCCCTCTGCCCTCCTCTCCCCTTTCCCCCTGCCCTTCTCGCCCTTTCCCCCTGCCCTTCTCTCCCTTTCCCCCTGCCCTTCTCTCCCTTTCCCCCTGCCCTTCTCTCCCTTTCCCCGTGCCCTCCTCTCCCTTTCCCCCTCCCCTCCTCTCCCTTTCCCCCTGCCCTCCTCTCCCTTTCCCCCTGCCCTTCTCTCCCTTTCCCCCTGACCTTCTCTCCCTTTCCCCCTGCCCTTCTCTCCCTTTCCCCGTGCCCTTCTCTCCCTTTCCCCCTGCCCTCCTCTCCCTTTCCCCCTGCCCTCCTCTCCCTTTCCCCCTGCCCTGCTCTCCCTTTCCCCCTGCCCTTCTCTCCCTTTCCCCCTGCCCTTCTCTCCCTCTCCCCGTGTCCTCCTCTCCATTTCCCCCTCCCCTCCTCTCCCTTTCCCCCTGCCCTCCTCTCCATTTCCCTCTGCCCTCCTCTCCCCTTTCCCCCTGCCCTTCTCGCCCTTTCCCCCTGCCCTTCTCTCCCTTTCCCCCTGCCCTTCTCTCCCTTTCCCCCTGCCTTTCTCTCCCTTTCCCCGTGCCCTCCTCTCCCTTTCCCCCTCCCCTCCTCTCCCTTTCCCCCTGCCCTCCTCTCCCTTTCCCCCTGCCCTTCTCTCCCTTTCCCCCTGACCTTCTCTCCCTTTCCCCCTGCCCTTCTCTCCCTTTCCCCGTGCCCTTCTCTCCCTTTCCCCCTCCCCTCCTCTCCCTTTCCCCCTGCCCTCCTCTCCCTTTCCCCCTCCCCTCATATGCACCCTTCCCTCCCTTTCCCCGTGCCCTCCTCTCCCTTTCCCCCTCCCCTCCTCTCCCTTTCCCACTGCCCTTCTCTCCCTTTCCCCGTGCCCTCCTCTCCCTTTCCCCTGCCCTCCTCGCCCTTTCCCCCTGCCCTCCTCCTCCTTTTCCCCCTGCCCTCCTCTCCCTTTCCCCCTGCCCTCCTCGCCCTTCCCCCCTGCCCTCCTCCTCCTTTTCCCCCTGCCCTCCTCTTCCTTTCCCCCTGCCCTCCTCTCCCTTTCCCCCTGCCCTTCTCTCCCTTTCCCCCTGCCCTCCTCTCCCTTTCCCCCTGCCCTTCTCTCCCTTTCCCCCTGCCCTTCTCTCCCTTTCCCCCTGCCCTTCTCTCCCTTTCCCCGTGCCCTCCTCTCCCTTTCCCCCTCCCCTCCTCTCCCTTTCCCCCTGCCCTCCTCCCCCTTTCCCCCTGCCCTCCTCTCCCTTTCCCCCTGCCCTTCTCTCCCTTTCCCCGTGCCCTCCTCTCCCTTTCCCCCTCCCCTCCTCTCCCTTTCCCCCTGCCCTTCTCTCCCTTTCCCCCTGCCCTCCTCTCAGTTTAACCCCCTCTTCCCCGCGCTCTTTGCTGTATCCACCCCTCGTTTTCCTCCGGGACTCCTCTCGCGGGATGTGCTTACTGGCTGGCGGGTGGGGAGGCTGGAGCTCCCGCGCCATATCAAGATTAGGTTTAGTCGGCGGCGAGCAACGAGCCCACAGCACGTGGCTCGAGGTGAGAGGCGCGTGGTCTCTCGATTCCGCGTCTTGCGCGGGGACCTCGTTTTCTTTGCGCCTCGGTCAAAGGGCAGCTTAGCGCCGAGCTCGTCTGCACGCGTGCCGCATGCGATGGCTAGCGCGACGAGGCGCAGGACGTTCAACGGACGAAAGAGCTCGGAAAGGTGATGCGCGAGTCGAGTCTCCGCTTCCGTCGTGCAGGGATCTATGCCATGGTATCTACTTACCACGTGTTGAAACGATGTGAGATTTTCAGCCACGTGTGCAGTTTCTATTGGATGCCGGGCTGTACGAGAGCCAAGAGGAGGCCATTTGTGAGTGAGAAGGTGCGTGGTCGGCTCGACGAGAAGGTGCGGCTCAGTTTCTGTGCCCTTTTTTATTGTTGGGAAACTCGTAATCCTAGGTCCCTCACATGGGTTCACGACGACAGGTTGGAACTCTGGCGTTGTTTTTGTTTTGGGGGCATATGGTACCTGTTTCTAATTGGCGCGCGATCTTGCAGAGTCGTCTGGGTCGCTAGGTGCTCTAGTCATGTCGCACACATTGTTTTTTCGTTGTACTGCCACACCTCCATGGGCGGTCAGCTGCCCAGGGGCGAAATGGAATTCCATTCTGACGTTCGTGCGCCGGGTTGGTTTGGCTGCTGTACACCCCCTATCAAACTGGGCCCAACTAGAGAGGGGGGGTCATTATTATATCTTCTCGCTTTAAAGAGTATGATGTAGTAATCAGGTTTGTGATTATTTTCGAGATAGATCTCCCTGAAGATGACGGGACTTATGAAGTCAACCAGAGTCACGAGGTAGGACAGCAGGACATAGGTCATTGAGCAGGGTAGAACACTCTAAAAACCTCCGAGGCCAAAGCACCACCGTCAGATCCATAGTTACCCCCATCTTTGTATTACCAGTTTTGTTTCCCACGATCTTGTTCTTCTCCTACTAGTAGTACGAGTCAGCTCTCCTCGCTCGACCAACCCTCGCGTGACAACGCGACCGAGTCGTCACTGGTGACAGCCTGAGTCTGTCGCGGCGATAGTTGTCGACGCACGCCGCCGGTGCGCCGCCGTATGAAGGTGCGTTCCGCCGCGAGATTTGCCAAGCAGCAACTGGGTTGCGCCCTCTTGCGCCGCCTTGTACCCCCGCTGCTCGCTGTTCCTCGCTGCTCCCTCGCTACTGCGACCAGTCGCAGCACCGGCGGATGCCATGCGCTGCCGTGTGTGACGGAGGACCCCATCGTAATATCATCGCACCTGCTGCTCGGAGGACCCCGGTAGGCTGCAGTAGACAGCTCTCGCTGCCCTCAGCTGACACTCACGCCTCCCTCCTCCTCTTCCGGAACACCACGCGAGGTGGTACTACTACGTTGGTCCGCGTGCGCACGCCGTCCAGCCTATTGGGGGTGGGCTGCCGCGGGCGTGCGGCGCAAGCATGGGTGTAAAGCCGCTGTGTACTCATGCCAACTTGTACATCGGTTCGCTAACTCGCAGTGTGGGTGCTTACCCCACAGCAGCGACTGGTTGTTTGCCTTCATGTGGACGCGTGACTGGCGCAGCCCCTCGTGAATAGCGTCAGAACACGCGCCTGCTCGACCGTGGTGTTCTCCATTTCACCCCCTCCTTCAGAGCCATCTCGGGCTTCAGCAGCTGCTGCTGCTGCTGCTCACGTGCTGCTGGCTGCATGACCGTACGCCGGTGGAGGCGCGGCGAATTCAGACGGCAGACTGTGAGTGCGCACAGGGGGGGGGTGGTGCGATGGTGCCATGCAAGGTGTGCACACGGCGATGGGAGACTCCCCTGCTGCTGCTATGGCTCTCGCACCCCGTAATCAGATTCATTCTGGCAGCCATGGCTGCTGCACCGAATCTCTCTGCGTTAACACTCATGTGGGGCAGGTTGGCGGCAGGGTTCAAAAATACGGTTTCTGAAAAATACGGGTTGAATTTTACGACTGTTTTTTTCGGGCTTTTTGCCAAAAAAACGACGTTGTTTTTTTGTTAGACATATTTCTCCGAGAAAAAAAACTTCAGAAAACGGCCTTGCCATCAGCAATAACGACCCAACTACAGGTATGCCTATGAATCCTACTCCTACTCCTCCTACTCCTACCCCTACTCCTCCTACTCCTACTCCTCGTCGTCGTCGTCGTCCTCCTCCTCCTCCTGCTCCTCGTTCCCCTCGTCCTCGTCCTCCTCCTCGTCCTCGTCCTCGTCCTCCTCCTCGTCCCTTTCGTCGTCCTCCTCCTCCTCCCCTCCACACCCATTCCCCCTGAAATCCCAAGGGTCAGCCCCATTGGCCTTCTTGGTGCCTTCCTCTGCCCCGCTGCTCTCACCATCCTCCTCCTCCTCCTCCTCCTCCTCCTCCTCGTATAGGGCACGCTTAGTCTTGCCCTTCCTTGCCCCGCCAGAGGTTTTCCCCCGCTTAGAGGGCTTTGCTCCCTCCGTCTTCTTCCTCCTCTTTTTCCCACTGGATCCAAATGTTGCCCAATCAATGGCATAAGCCCCCGCACCCTCCTCACCCTCCTCCTCGCCCTCGGCCACCTCCTCGGGTTCTGCCTCCAAGGCGACGGGTTCAGCAGCCCCCTCTTTGAGCCTACCCTCTTGCAGATCGGCGTAGAGATTCGCGCGCACGGCTGCCTTCTTGTCGAAGGCCGCCCGGGCTCGCCGAGAGAATGCCATGCATGTGACGTCTATGAGGGTCCGAGCCTTGAGCCGGTTCCGATCGCGCCGCTGGACCCTGCTCATGGCCGACCACCAACGCTCCACCTCGGAGGCGGTGATCGGCTGTGAAAGGACCTTCACGGCCAGCTCTTGCAGTAGCTTCACCTCCCCCCCATACATGGCCCACCACTCCGCCTCCGAGAGGCGGCCACTCTCCACAAGGTGAGCCGCTGCCCACCGTGCATCACGGCCACCCACTTTCCCATTCCCGCTATGAAAGTGGGCGAGCTGAGCCTCGAGGAGGGCTCGCCGCTGCACATCGATCTCCCGAGCTTCCAGCACGGCCGTCACTCCTTTCAGTATCTCCCCGTCGTGCCATACCTCCTCTGAAAACTGGTTCTTTGGGTTGAGCAGCCACCCAAGAGCGTGGAGGGGGTTGTGGAGCTGTTTGTCCCACCTCCGCGCAATGATCTTCTTGATGGAGGTGAGGAAGGCAGCTTTCTCCTTCGAGGGAAGAAGCTTGGTCTTCTTGATGAAGAATATGGCTGCAGCATGTCAGCGGGAGGGTGTGTGGCGCGGGTTGAGGGGCTTGTTTACGCATTTTCGAGGTGCTGGACATATGTTAAGGCGGGAGCAGTAAAGACACTGAAATGAGGCAAGAAGAACGACCATAATGGGCGATGGGGACGAGTGAGGGCCCTTACCCAATGCCTCGGCCGCCATGTTTGTCTTGACGGTGGCGTCGAGCGTTAGGCCGTAGATTCTGCCCATAAGCAGAGATCTGCGGTCCACCGCTCTCAGCACCTCGTACACGGGGTTCATGAGGTTGTACACGGCCTCCACGGAATCCCAGAATGTGTCGGCGAGGAGGAGGACCCGAAGCTGCCTCCCCTCGTCCGTCTTGGAGGTAGCCACGCCCTTCCACTCCTCCGAAATCACCATCCGCTGCATGTCCGCTTTCACCTCCAAGAACCTAGCCAGCATGATTACTTGTGTGCCAAATCGGGTGGTCCCGGGGCGGACGAGCTCGAGCTTGCAGAAAACTTCTCGAAAGAGAACCACCGCGCTCGCGCTCTTCTTGACGATCATCACACAGCGGTGTGCTTGGTGCAACACCCGCTTGATGACGCTTAGCGCTCCAATATCATGGAGCATTAAGTCCAGACAATGGGCAGCGCAATTCGTGAAAAAGATTGCAGGGTACCCATCTCCCAACTTCTCAGCCGCCTTCCGATTGTTGGATGCGTTGTCCATGACAACCTGGACCACACATCCATCACCCACCTTACAGATTCCCCCCCGGATCAAACCAGCCAAGTACTTTCCCGTTTTCTTTGCTGTTTTGGAGTCCACAACCTCCACCATGACTGGAGTCGTGTCATTTTGAGCGATGAGGCACACCAAGCCTCTGCTCTTGAGACACGTCCAGCCATCCACGGAGAGCGTGCACCCCATTGTTCGCCAAGTTTTTCTTCAGTGGCTCGACCAAGTCCTCCACATCAGCCCTCAGCTTTTCAAGCAGAGGGCCGCCAACCTTATATGCCGAGGGAAGCGTGTACTGCCTCCCATAGGCGATGGCGGCGTTCACAAATTCCTGCAATGCCTTGGACCTGTGAGTAAGGGGGTATGGAGTTTGGCTAAGTGCGGGCATAAAAACAGCTAGGGGCCACTACGGCATTGATCTAAGGTAGTCGTAATAGGGCAGAAACGGGTGAGGGAAAGCGGGGGAGGAGAAACTTACTGGGAGCACCAAAAAGCCCAGTCATTTTCAGCCACTGCCGTCGCCCAAAGGAGGTCTAGACACTCGCGCTCGCGGGGGTCCGTCAAGTCCCGAATGTCGGTCTGACGAATGCGACGCGGGCGTTCCACTTCTGGCAGCGATGTTGAAGCCAAAACCAGGGCAGAGGATGTGGAGCCATGCTCGCTGACGCCCTTCTCGCGGAGATTCCTCGCAGATTCCGCGACGTTTTTCAGCTTTGACGTCGGCGTACCGTAGAGGTGCTCGGTGATCCTCGTCGCGCTGTCCGTCAAGGACGATTTGCAATGCAGGCACTCAGCGCGGAGAAGTTTTCCGTCCAGCCCATGAATCTTCCGCACGTATTGCCAAACGGGAGAAATTGCTCTGCCCATAGTGGAAACTAATCCTGCAGCTGGTCGAAATGATGTCGCGCTGTCTAAGGCAGCACGTTCATCAAGAAAAACGCGGGCATGAAGCGTCACTAGCGAGATTCGCGGAGCTTAGTGCGGAATTCTAATGTAATTCGAACTTCGTAGAAGAATTCCTACCTGTCTGTTGTTGATGCTCTGTATTTGTATCTCTAACAATCGAATGTTGGGTTGAGGAACATTTGGGAGGGACTCTGGGAAGGATACCCATTTCGCGTGTCGGGGGGGTTGTTTACGAAACGCGCCACTGACACATGTGTTGCACAACAGCGCGAACTCATCCCACTGGGCGCGAAGAAATTGAATAGGCTGTGGCGAAACGGTCGTTCATTTCGCAACGGCCCAGCGAAATGAACAACAAGCGCGGCTCGGGAATGGGTTGCGCGTGCGCTGCGGGAAAACATTGACTCTCTGCAGTTCTCGTGGGCTGTGTACACCCAACCGACAGAATTGGATTCGAAATTCGTTATTGGACAATTTCGATTGTGGTTAAAAAATACGACCGAATAATACGACCGTATTTTTGAACCAAAGCACTTAACACCATTTCGACCGGATTTTTTGGTATTATACGACCGTATCGTTATAAACCGTATCATACGGGAGAATCCTAAAAAAAACGACCGTTTTTTTAACCTTGGTTGGCGGCTTGGTCGAGCTGGCCAAACGTAATGTGGGCTGACCTGCCAACCTCCTTGTGTGGTGAGTTGCCGAACACCAATGAGCTAGCCAACACTCAAATTTTCTCGGTTACACTAATTTTATGAGCTAACCCAACATTGTAATACTGGGTTAACCGTTAACCCCTGCTAGGGTCAAACACCCAAAATACACTTACACACTCGAGCGAACTTGATGTTATCTAACACCCTCTCCCCACATCTAACCTCCCCTCCGTCCACTCCCTCCACCCCCAATCCCTCCCCCTCCGTCCCCATATCCGTCCCACGGGTCCTCCCTCTTCTACCTCACATCTCATCGTGCTCCTGTGTGCTCTCCCTTTCCCCGTTCCTCGCGCGCAGTCCAGGTATTGTCACAGCTGCTGGCGGCGTGGGGCACCTTTGCTGAAGGCAAGACGTGGTCGGCCAACAGCGACTGCTCCACCGTGCAGGGCGTCACATGCGACGCCGATGGCTACTTGCTCACCCTGTCAGCACACCCATGCCCCTTGCGCGACCCATGCCCTGCTTACACTTGTCAAACTGTCCAGCCTTCCTGTGAGGCACGGACGCCTTGTCGCACTGTCATGCCATGCTATTCGCCCCATCACCGGGCACTCTTCCGCTGCAAACACCCCATTCGCATATGCACGCATGCGAGGCAGGCATGGGAATCACCTTTCTTTCCCTCGAAATTACTTTTCTCCCTTCAGCGCAATATACGACCATGTGTTTGAGAAGCCCATCCCAGACGCCATCAGTGGCCTGCAGCACCTCACGTATCTGTGAGTCGCTTGGGTTGCTGTTCCTGTCCTGCTGCTAAGGCGGCGGACGGGATACTCCAACCTACGTTCCTGCAAAGGGTGGAGTTCTCAAGTGCGGAATGTTGTCCACCTTATGTTCCGTGCTTCATCCCGCCACCACCTCACCTGCCCTAGCATCCCCCCCTCCTCCTCTTTCTCCCCTCCCTCTCTCCCCCCCCCCCTCCCACCCCCCCCGTGCATCAGAAGCATCATGGCGAGCCATTTGGTGGGATCGCTGCCTGCAGCGCTCTTCAACCTGACGCTGCTCAGAGGCATGTGCGTGCTGCCCAGGGGCTTGCAAGGCGGGCTCGCAGGGTGCTCGCAGGGTGCTCGCAGGGTGCTCGCAGGGTGCTCGCAGGGGGTGGGGACCGTGGGGGCAACGTGTGCAGGCCGTGGGACATGGTGGGCTGGGATGTGTTCAATGAGAGGAGTGAGGAGACTGAGGAGAGAAGGGGATGAGGGGAGCTGGGAAGGCAACACGAGCAGGATTGCATGGCCATGCCACGTCTGTGCTTACATCAGGTGCCGCATGGGCCTTGCAATGCTGCTACTCGGCTGAAAGCCTTTGGCAAGAACACATGCATTTGTGAGGGAAAATTATTCATTGATTTAATTTCCGTGTCAAAATTTACCTTAGTCCTTCTTTCCTTTCCCCTCCTCTCCCAATCAGCCTCTCAGTTTCTCCCTTGGCGGCACATCTGTAACGCCCCCATCTATCGCCATGTAACGCCACGCCACCTATCCCTGTGCTTGCCTTGCATGCAGCAAGTTGTTGGGGAATCATTTTAGCGGCCCCATACCAGACGACATCAGCAAGCTCTCTCGCCTCACCTTTCTGTCAGTAGAGCCCATGGCACCTACCTGTCAGTAGCATGGCGCAACTACCGCACCGCACCTGTCATCTACTTCTCTTCATGCATGCCGCTGTCCTGGATAGTCGGCACTGCTGAATGTGTTCCGTTCCGTGCCTTCATACTGCATTCCACGTTTCTATTGTTTTTCCTCGTTGCATCCCATGCCGCCACCTTATATGCTCGGTCACCTGCCTAGTCGGCCACCCCTCACCTCACGTCACCCGCAATGCCTCCACTGCAGAGGCCTGGCAGATAATCTTTTGAGCGGACCCATACCCGATGCACTGTCGCACCTCGGCGAGCTTTGGACACTGTAAATGTTTAACCTGGGGTGTGGAACACTGTATCTGTTTTGGGAGAGCCTCTTAAAACGATTTTTTCTAGCATCTCTGGGTGAAGTGAAATCCTAAGTGTTCTATGGGCGTGTATCACGTGCAAGGAAAACGACGCCACCAATGTGTACCATGCGTTTTTGCATGAATGGGAACATTTCTGTGCGTTCGGAAGCAGTGACTCGGCGTCATATCGTGACGTCGTGCCGTCCTACTTGATACTCCCCGTAACGAACGACGATACCTATTATTACTACTAGGTACTGACGGTCTGAGCACAATCCAAACCCTAACTGTCATGGATTTTTGTCTGGCGGATTGTGCTGTGGTGGAATGCACTTTCTGGTGGTTCCCAAAATTTACGAATGTCTTTAAGCCTCGTTCTTGCTTTTCCACCAACACCCAATCCCCTCGTTTCCTCGCGTGGACCCAACTAAATTCCTATTCGCTCAAACCCAACTTAATCCTTTTTCAGGCAACTTCCAGTCCGCATCTCAAAACTGTAGGAGGCTTGGGCTTATGCTTGAGCATGAACCCGACCCGACCCGATTTCGGGTCGGGTCGGGTCGGGTTGGCATAGGGGCAGGGACGGGTAATAGGCCGACCCGACGGGTCGGGTTTTGTCAGTCGGGTCGGGTCGGGTCGGGTCGGGTACTTGAGGGTCGGGTCGACCCTCCGAAAATGTCGACCCGACCCGTCAAAAAGTCGGGTTCGGGTCGGGTTGCCCGACCCGACCCGACCCGTTGCTCAAGCCTACTTGGGCTAGGAAACTCAAGGAACCCCTGCTGGATGTTGAAATTGCGAAATCCAGCGTGCTTTTTCCTTTTGTTTCGTTCTTTCATACACAAAGCCATAGCTCGGGTCGCCCCTCGTTGTCGCGAGTCCGTGCGCTGACTCGATTCGGGTCAGGCAACTCGCGACTCGACAACGAGTGGACCAAGTCAAGTACTCCGACTCGCTGAGTCGTTGTCAACTCGACTCCGCAAGAGTTGATTACAAAAACAAGCCGGTTCCACCTGGCCTGAAGTCGAGTCGAGTCGCCGAGTCGAGTCCAGGCTCTACCTGGTTTCTCATGTCTACCTGCAAAGGGCAACTGTGTCAACTCAGGTAGCAGAAGAAAGGGCACAGTATCATTGTGATACGAGCTATACAAGTGGTATCTTATGCTCGTGTGCTGTTAATTGGAATCTTTCCCCAAGGAATTCCATGATTCGCTTAGAACCATGCCTCCCATATCCATTCTGCTGCATAGCACTCACTTGGGCACGCTCGTGCATGGCATGTGCCCTTTTCAGAAACCTTGGGGGCAATTTGTTCACTGGCAGCATTCCCTCCGTTATCAGCACCATCACCACCCTCCGGTTATTGTGAGTCACCACTCTGCCTATCCCTGCTGAGTGCATGCTTGCTGTATCGTGCCGTGCACTCTATAGATGCCTTGGGACGTGTCCTGCATGACAAGCTGATCTGCTCTCGTGTGAAGGACCTGGGCTTTCCAGCTGCTTTCAAGTACTTTTCCAGCCTCAACCGCTCATAATGCATCAAGGCCTTGTGGATGCTTTTGATGCTTCGTATCAGCTGTCTGGGAGATGTTTTTGAGAAATGTGTCTGGCAGTATGCCAATGCTGCCACATTGGCCAAAATCTGCATGCTAGCTCTGTCCCATTTCCATGCTTTTTCTCGTTCAGAACTTTGGAGAAGAACCGCTTCTCTGGGGCCATACCCGATTGGATTTCCACAGTGGCAAGACTCCGGAGCCTGTATGTAGTTGTGAGCTTGTATGTGTGCCTGACAGCTATGAGTGTGGGCCTACACCTGAGAATAGCGCAACCAGTGGCAGGACAGCAGTGGAGGTGAGACAAACAAGTAGTGGCCTGTAAAATCGAATACGAATTCGAGTTCGAATATTTTTCCCCGAATAATTGCGAACAGAAGCTGAATTTGTATTTGGCCGAATAGTTTCTTTCCCGTCGAATACGAACTCGAGTCGGATACTGGGATTCCGTGGAGGCCGTGTACAACCTCATGAACCCCGTGTACGAGGTGCTGAGAGCGGTGGACCGCAGATCTCTGCTTATGGGCAGAATCTACGGCCTAATGCTCGACGCCACCGTCAAGACAAACATGGCGGCCGAGGCAGCGGGTAAGGGCCCTCACTCGTCCCCATCGCCCATTATGGTCGTTCTTCTTGCATCATTTCAGTGTCTTTACTGCTCCCGCCTTAACATATGTCCAGCACCTCGAAAATGCGTGCGAATACCGAATATTGTATTTACAGGCTTAGTCACCATTGTATGCCAGTATGAGATGGTTTGTGGTCTTGCATAGGTGTAGGTGCACCCTGCAAATTCTGTGCCCTGCCACTCCTAGAGCACGAAACACCCGAAATTTACCTATCGTGATGCGAACTGTTAGTATTTGCTGCACAGATGCGTCTTCCTTCCGCCCTTCCTTGCAGCAACCTCCAGTGGAACCTTCTGAATGGCACCGTACCAGCGTCTCTTGGGCGCTTGACAGAGCTCACCAATCTGTAGGTCCAGGTAGACTGACCAGCATTCACAGCTGCCAGACGCTTGAGCAAGTTTGGCAGTGGACCTCTTCTTTCTGCACTGCCCTGGCACCCTGCCATGTGGTCCAAGGGAAAGTCAGTCTGAGGTTCTGTTGATAAAGAACACGAATTCCTAAGCACAACGCAAAACGTATTAGACAAATCTGTTTTGCTTCAGAGTTCCCCTTGTGACCTGCAGCTAGTCTTAATCTCCCTGCCCCTGTGGATCTCATTAAAGAAGATGCTGCTAATAATGTGCGGTGTACGGCTTCCATCTGATTGCTCTACAGCGATCTTGGATCAAACTTCCTAGAGGGGTCTATTCCTGAGGAGCTGGGCAACCTTGTGAACTTAAAATCGCTGTGAGTCAAGTATGTGCATTGAGCAGGGTTGTGTGAAGTATGTGCATTGAGCAGTAGACATGAGCACGGGGCGAGGCGAGGATTCCTTGACCCGAGGATCTCATCCTCGCGCCCTAGCTGGGGCGGGTCGAGGAATCCTCGCCGAGGATTTTTCATGAAAATCCCCCCTCGACCCCCGGGTTTTGGGGTCGAGGATTGAAATCCTCGCCTCGAGGATTAATTCCTTGACCCGGGGCGAGGATTCCTTGACCTGGGCGGCTGGGGGGTTAGGGGGGGGGGGGTAATGGGAACATCCTCGCCCATTTGCCTCGAGGAAAAATCGAGGCCTCGAATCCTCGCCGGGGCGGGGCGAGGAATCCTCGCGAGGAATTTTCCCAGAAAACCTGCCTCGACCCCCGGAATTTCGAGGCGAGGATTTCCGAGGCGAGGAAATCCTCGCCTCATTGCTCATGTCTATTGAGCAGGGTAGTGTGAAGTATGTGCATTGAGCAGGGTTGTGTGAAGTATGTGCATTGAGCAGGGTTGTGTGAAGTATGTGCATTGAGCAGGGTTGTGTGAAGTATGTGCATTGAGCAGGGTTGTGTGAAGTATGTGCATTGAGCAGGGTTGTGTGAAGTATGTGCATTGAGCAGGGTTATGTGAAGTATGTGCATTGAGCAGGGTTGTGTGAAGTATGTGCATTGAGCAGGGTTGTGTGAAGTATGTGCATTGAGCAGGGTTGTGTGAAGTATGTGCATTGAGCAGGGTTGTGTGAAGTATGTGCATTGAGCAGGGTTGTGTGAAGTATGTGCATTGAGCAGGTTTGTGTGAAGTATGTGCATTGAGCAGGGTTGTGTGAAGTATGTGCATTGAGCAGGGTTGTGTGAAGTATGTGCATTGAGCAGGGTTGCAAGAAGGCGAGTTTCCATGCTGGACAGTGCCTGTCAAAACAGGGTACAGCAAGAGAGTTCTCCAAAGGTGTCATTAAAAGCTTGAATGCCAACTAGCCAAGGTGCAAAAATATATGGGCCGTATAATACTGCCTTATTTTCTGCCATTTTATGAAAAATACCGCTGTCTTTCTTTTTCCTTTTTGTTTTGTTTTGGTTTTGTTTTGCATATTCACACGTTTTGGCAGACGGAATGGCAGATCCACGCATTTCGCTTGTCGAAACGCGAGATCGGTGCTTTTTGGCCATACTTCCACCTGTTTTTTTTTTTTTTTTTTTTTTTTTAAGCCGAAAGAAATGACCGTATTTTTGCAGTACCCTCAAAGTGGCACTTCTGACCCTTTTTTTTTATCGCATTATATGGCCGGAAACTTATACCGTTCGGTCAAAATTTGAAAAGACTCCGTTTTGTTGCACCTTGCAACTTGCTAAAACATCTTGCTAAAGCGATCTTATTTCGCAGGTTTCTGATGCGTGCCATATTTCCAGCCAGCAGATTATGAAGTGCCTTGCAAGCAAGCTTGTGAATGGCTGCTCAGGTGTTCGCTGTGCCGACCAGGCGGGGTGGGCAGCGTGAGGTGTGAGAATGGACAGAGGCTTTCATCAAGCCTCGTGAATGGCTGCTCAGGTGTTCGGGCGTGAGGTGTGGGCTGCAACGTGTCCATGATGAGATCCACTTCCTCTCTGCAACTGCGTGCCCCCAAGCACTCTCATGGTGAAATTGAGGTCGTGTGTGAAGGGGATCAGCAGGAGTTAGTCTCCTGGGCCCGCTCTTCGAAATAAATCTTCATGTGTGGCCAAAAAGTGGGGTGGAGCCGTGCATGGAGGAGTCCTTAATGATGGTGGCTATCCTGTGGCCGTTTTGGCAGGTGGAGAGTATCAGAAACTGAGAACTTGATTGATTGAAATGAGCAAGAGCATACATCCTTAAGTACCGAGCATCGGAGAGGATGGGAAGGGATAAGGGAGAATCGGAGGGAATCCCAAGGGAATCCTCCCAAATCGTGGGGATTTGGGATGGATTGGGTTGGGATAGGTTGGGGATGAAAACATAGCTACACCCAACCTAACAAATATGGGTATCCCTAAAACCAACAAAGTGTCAACACACAAAATTGTGCCGACCGAATTGCAGCCTATCTCTAACACACCCCCTAGGCTGCAACGTCGGAAGCCGTAGGGACGCCAAGTCCCATGGTACGGAGGAGACGATAGTGATCACGGCGTCCAAGAGCCTTCGTAAACAAGTCGGCGAGGTTGCAGTCAGAGGAAATATGCTTGACGCACAACTGCCCTCGCTGGACGAGCTCGCGCATGAAGAAGTGTCTCAATTCGATGTGCTTGGTTCGTTGGTGGAAGACAGGATCTTTGGTGAGGTGGATAGTGCTCTCGTTATCACACCACAGAGTCGGGGTCTGCTGAGGATACCCGAGCTCAGCCATGAGGTAGGTAAGCCATCGAGCTTCTTGGGCTGCCATGGTGCCTGCGTATAACTCAGCTTCGCAAGATGACAATGAGACGGATGACGAGCGTGTAGATCGCCAGCTGATGACACCACTGCCAAGGGTGAAGCAATAGCCTTGGGAAGAGCGGCGGTCAGCTTGATCATCAGCCCATGAGGAGTCGCTGTATCCCTCGAGGTGAGGAGGGGTCGTGCCACCGAGAGTGAGGACGTAGTCCTTGGTGGCTTGGAGGTAGCGAAGGACGCGCTTAGCAGCCGACCAGTGGCGATTGGTGTATCGACCGGCAGCAACGTAACGCGAGAGCACACTGATGGGGTAGGCGAGGTCGGGCCTTGTGCACATCATCGCATACATGAGTGATCCGACGAGCTCGGGGTATGCCTCATCACAAGGCTCAGGCGATGGAACTGATGGAGTGGTCAGATCATGCTGCAAGGGAAGGGGAGTGGCCACTGGCTTGGCGTTGTCCATGGCAAAACGCTTGAGGACGTTGTTCACATAGAACTCTTGAGAGAGAGTGATGGTTCGAGCTTCGCGATCCCGCGAGATTTCCATCCCAAGGTAGTTCTTGAGTTCACCGAGGTCCTTCATGGCGAGAGCGTCCCCAAGAGCTTGCTTAACAGCTGCCAGCTGATCGGAGTCCTTGGAGACGAGAATCATGTCGTCAACGTAGACAAGGATGAAGAACGGGTTGTCGTTCTTGCGAATGAAGAGACTCGGATCGGCTGAGGAGGGGTGGAAGTCGAGTGACTCGAGGGTTGCCTTCAGCTTCTTGTGCCATTCCCGAGGAGCCTGCTTCAACCCGTAGACTGGTCGATTCAGCTTCCAGACCGTGCCGGGTGGAAAGGGTAAGGGAAATCCTTGAGGACGTTCCATGTAGATGTCCTCGGGGAGATCCCCTTGGAGAAATGCAGCAGAGACGTCCATGGAGTGAACGTCAAAGTTGCATCGAGCAGCAATGTCCAGCAGGGTCCGAAGTGTGGGCAGTTTGGCTGTCGGAGAGAATGTGTCGAAGAAGTCCAGGCCCTTCTTCTGCGTGAAGCCTTTTGCACAGTATCGCGCCTTGAAGACTGGGAGTTCGCCAGGCAGCTGCTTGACGCGAAAAACCCATTTGCCACGGACAATGTTAACTCCTCGCGGAGGAGAGACGTCCGTGAAAGAGTTGTTGCGAATGAATGCTTCACACTCCGCGATCATGGCTGCGAGCCACTGGGGGGAGTGTGGTCCAGAGATGGCTTCATCATATGAGTTCGGGGTCGGGATGGATGGATTTTCCGAGAAGTTAAGAGTTGGAGCGTCGGCAAGGTCGGGGAAGAGATGGCAGAGCTGACGGATGGCAGCATTGATCTCAATCAGCTCCTCATGCCTATCCTCCAAGAGGCCAGGCATGGATGCACCCCCGGCAGGAGGAGGCGGATTGAGGGAGATGCGAACAGAGAGGGCGAGAGGCGGAGCGGGACCATGAGAGCGGGTGCGGTGAGCAATAGGGACAGGAGAGGAGGGAGGTGGCGGGGGAGCAGGTGGGACATCGACATAAGAGCGTCCGTGGCGACGGCGACGATAGGTGATGGGCGAGTCGGGAGGAGAGGTGGAGTGGGTGAAGTATCGAAATCGGCCCACACAAGCGAAGGTGGAGCGGTGGGGGGTGGTGAAGAGATGTAAAAAGGGCGACTCTCGTCAAAGGCGACATCGCGGCTACGAATGAGCTGATTGGTGGAGAGATTGAGGAAAAGGTAATCGGGAGAGTCCAGGTTGTGGCCGAGGTAGACACAGGGGTGAGCTTTGGGTGCAAATTTGCCGCCGTGGGTGCGACGTTCCTGAGGGTTGAGGAGGACATAAGCTGTACACCCCCATACGCGGAGAGGACGTGCACTGGGCTTGGTGCCGGTCCACAGTTCAGCGGGAGTGATGGCAGGCCGAAGAGGGTGAGGGTGAAGGTTGTACAGCAGCGTGGCATGAAAGAGGGCGTAACCCCAAAGGGAAGGTGGTGCACCAGCGTGAGTGAGAAGACAGCGAGCGATTTGCACGAGAGTGCGATTGCGACTTTCGGCAATGCCATTCTGCTGCGGACTGTGGGGAAGGGTGAAGGTCTGGCGAATGCCTTGGGAGGCACAGAACGCTTGAAGGGAATGGTTTCGAAATTCGCCACCGCCATCGGAATGGAGGCACTTGACTGAAGTGCGGAAATGATTTTGGGCTTGTCGAACCCATGCGATGACGACATCTGGAACAGCTGCTTTGGAGGAGAGTAGGTGGACGGAGGCATAGCGAGAGTGATCGTCAACGAGCACTAGGAAGTAAGAGTGCCCGCCACGAGAGCGGACTGGAGCTGGGCCCCAGACGTCCATGTGGACGAGGTCAAGCGGGGCGGCTGCAGCAGAGGGCGAGGAAGGGTGAGGCAACTGGCGTAGTTTGCTTTGCGCGCAGTCCAAGCATGGAGGAGCGGGAGAAGTGGAGGGTGGAGGAAGTGTGTCGGGCAGGTGAAGAAGCAACTTCTTAGACGCAAGCTCGGAGAGCATGCGGAAGTTGGGATGCCCAAGACGATGGTGGTAAAGAATGGTTGGATCGGTGAGCTGACGGCAGGAGCACGATGATGTGGTGGAGGTAGAGTGTGCTTCTGTGGAAGATGGAGGTACTTGGAGTGTGTAGAGGTTGTTGGCGGTCAGTGTGAAGCGTGCAAGTAGGGCATTGGTGGTGGGCTGAAGGAGATCACAGTGATTGGAATGAGCTGGGAAGATAGTGGTTACCCCTGCTCGTTGAATCTCATGTTGTGCAAGTAAGTTGTGCCGAAGAGTGGGCACGCATATGCCAGTGACTGTGCCAGATGGGAAGGCTGGGCATGGAAGAGTGGAGGAACCATGGGCGACAGTTGTGAAGCTGGAGTCAGCGCCCAGAAGAGGAATGGGTGCTTGGTATGGTTTGAAAGACTCTTTGTCTCGGAGGACTGTGTGGGTTGCGCCACTGTCCAGGACGAATTCAAGCGGTTTAGATGGTGTTTGTGGAGACGCCGAGTACTGGGAACTGGTTTCATTGATCATGGGAAGGCCAGGGAACAACAGGTTGAGACGAACATCAGGACTAGGGGCATGAACGGCTGAGTCCTGACTATCCTGTGCCTCAACCTGGTTGAGTTGGCGCATGCGAAGCCAGTTGGGCGGCTTGGAGTTGATACCATTCTTGGCGAACCAGTCGTCGTCCTTCTTTTTGAAACAGGTGGCGAGCGGGTGATTGGTGCCGCCGCACACTTGACCCGCACGGGGTCCCATTTTGATGACGTAAGGACAGGGTGGGTAGCGGTTACGAGTGGGTGGCGGATTGGGACGCGATGCTGGAGCCGGGACAGGAGCGCGAAGCGCATTTGCACGAGCCTGCGCAGTGTTGTCTTTTTCAGCAGAGAGAAGTGCGGAAGAGACTTTGGCAAAGGTTAGCTCTTCTGGCGGGAGATGGAGAAGCATGGAGCGGGTGACATTGTAAGAGGGGGTCAGCCCAACAAGCAGAGCTGCTGCAGGGGCTTGCTCTGGGAAGACAATGCCGAGTTGCTTCAGCTCCTGATGAATCCCTTGAATTTCAGCGACGTAATCTGCCATTCCAGGGCACTCCTCCAGACGCACTTGCAACAAGCGGGGGATGAGGATCGCCACCCCCACAGCGGTTTTGTTGAGGAAGCGGTCGTTGAGGTACTCCCAGATGGCGTGCGCGGAGGGGTAGTTATGGTAAGTTTTGACGAGCTCGGAAGGGGTAGTGCCGACGAAGACGCCAATGATAGCGGCGTCGGCTTGCTCCCACACGCTGTAAGATTCTTCATACTTGGACATGGATTCCTCATGGATTTTTAACTCTTCCCCTGTGGCTGTGGCCGAGAGCCTCTTGGGAAGGATCGGCATCTTTCCTTTGCCGCGATTGAGGAGGACATCCTTGAGGCAAATCCCCTCAATTTTGCGGCTTAGGAGATGCTTATCAACCCCATAGCTCCATTCCTTGAAGTTCGGGCTCGAGCCATTAGGGTCGAGGCGCAAGGGAGTGATCGGGTTTGAGAGAGACGCGGAAGGATACGCCATGATGCTCCAAGGACCCTTTCTCCGCGCGTAGCGCAGCTCTTAAGTCGCCGATAGGCACTTCGCGAAAAACAGGATTTCCCTTTGCGGATTTTCAACACTCGGAGAAGAGGAATAGCCGATAAAGAGGGAAATCTGAACGCCGAAAATCTATGGAAACCCGCGATGTGCTGCTGCAATCCCGCTGCTCCGCGACCCCCCCTTTTCCGCTTCGCCGCTGCCCCCTTTCCGCTTCGCCGCTGCCCCCTTTCCGCTTCGCCGCTGCACCCCCCCGCTGTTGCAAGGGCGACGGGCGACAGCCCGTCCAGCTTCGACGAGCAGATGCGGGGCGACGGGCTCAGCCCGATCAGGTGCGACGAGCAGATGCAGGGCGACGGGCTCAGCCCGATCAGGTGCGACGAGCAGATGCGGGGCGACGGGCTCAGCCCGATCAGGTGCGACGAGCAGATGCGGGGCGACGGGCGTCAGCCCGAAGAGACGAGCCGCGCAGATGCGGGGCGACGGGCGTCAGCCCGAAGAGAAGCACCGCGCTGAGTTGAGGCGACTAGAAAAGCTTTGCGTCGTAAGACGCAAATGCTAGGCTCCAACGGAGCGAGAGGATCAAGAGCCGCTTAGGCGGAAACGAGCTCTGATACCATATCAGAAACTGAGAACTTGATTGATTGAAATGAGCAAGAGCATACATCCTTAAGTACCGAGCATCGGAGAGGATGGGAAGGGATAAGGGAGAATCGGAGGGAATCCCAAGGGAATCCTCCCAAATCGTGGGGATTTGGGATGGATTGGGTTGGGATAGGTTGGGGATGAAAACATAGCTACACCCAACCTAACAAATATGGGTATCCCTAAAACCAACAAAGTGTCAACACACAAAATTGTGCCGACCGAATTGCAGCCTATCTCTAACAGAGAGCTTGTGCAGCAGCCTTGTGTCAGAGGGTTCCTGGCGCTCTGATGCAAGTAAGCCTCGAGCCTCCACAGGTAACATCGCCTCGCACTGACGCGTCAACTCTTGCAAGGGGGGGTCAGACTGGAGGTCCAGCTTCAGCGGCCAGGTGAAGAAAGGGGTGGCATGGGGGCAGCTAGGCTGCTAGGATGACCGGAGGAGGTGGGTGGGAGGTCTGGGTCACGCTGGACGGCGGAGGGGGTGCAGCTTCGACTGCTGGGTTCATCAGGCCCAGCCCCCCGTGGTGACTGGGAGGCTGGCTTCTCCAAAGGGCCTCCTTAAAAGTGACAGGTGGCATGCCTCCAGAGTCCTCACCCCGGCCATGTCTGCAGGGGGGGCGATGCGGGCATGGAGCGCATCAGGTAGCCCACCTGGAGGAGGAAGCATTGGGAAAGAAGGAGCAAGCCAATCTGGGGATTCAGCTCGCAGAGGGTAGAAGCGGCGTCGCCACATCTGGCTAATCTCGTGTGTTCCCACCGGGCTGCCCAATACATGTACGCCTCCTGAACTGAGGAGGAAAGCCAGGCAAGAGAGGGGAAGTCCAGTGGCTGGGGGGCCCAGGAATGGCCAGCCGGTCTTGATACAACAGCATCCCCAGGAAGGTCGACCTATAGGCTATCCCCAGGGGAAGTTGGGTAAGCAATCAGGAAGGTCAGTTGTGGTAGGGGGAGCCTTTTCCTTGAGGCCGTCAACTGTTTCTTGTGTGGTTGGCAAAAGGTCAGCAGGACGTAAGCGTTTGAACTGCTTTGCCAAGGTTGCCACTCAGCATCCGACACCCCGCATGCCTGCGATGCCTGTTTGCTCAGGGGTGTGTTCGGCGAGGTGGTGGGAGGTCAACTGCTGCTGCAGCAGCGTCCTCGAAATCTTAGTGCCATCGTCCCTCTTTGAACTTTCAAATTCTGTCCCCGATTTTTGTCCAGCCCTGTCTGCTGGGCTTCTCGAAGAGTCAGCATGGTAGGAACAGTGGAGGCCACGTTCCTGGCAGGTTGTGGTCTTGGCCAGCCCATAGAGAGGTGTCAGCCAGCCTGTCGAAGAGGGTCCACACGGTCGATGTGCTAGAGAGGGCTGCGGCTGCCTGCTGCCAGTCAGGCTTGTCCCAACCTCTGCAGGCTTGTCGCCGTGTTAAGAAACTTGGCGGGCCAATCTATGCGCAAGTAGATACGGGCAAAATAAATCGCATTGCATTGCAAAAATCACATTTTTGAAATTCGCGCTATGCGATTTTTTTTTATCGCACGGTTTGTGTTAATCGCATTAATTGCACTTAGAAATGTGCGACTTATGCGTGATTTGGGTTGCTTTTTTTTGTTTTTTGTTTTTTGTTTTAAAATTTATCGCATCGGATGCCATCTTGAAAACCATCGCGATGAGAAATCTCGCCAGCAAGGGGGAAAGTAGGCATGAGCAAAACCGGGTATTTACCCGACCCGACCCGGTTTTGCTATACCCGACTTCGGGTCGGGTATTTTCGGGTCGGGTACGGGTCGGGTAACATGCCCAGGACCAATACCCGGACCCGGGATTTGGGGGCGGGTAATTTAATACCCGCCTGGCGGGTCCGGGTATACCCGACCCGGTTTCCTTGAAAAGCGGGTAGTATTACCCGCGTTTTTCTACCCTGTTGGGCTACTAAGCCTACGACCTAGATAGTGCTTCAAAAAACGTGAGTTGCGGGAGGGAGTATGAGGTGCGCCAATTTGTTAACAGTTCTGGTGTGGTGAGTGGGTCGTTAGTGGGGCCTGAGTGGGGAGTTGGTTGGGTTTTCTAGTTGGGATGGGGTTGTGTGCGGTTTCTGGGGGTTTGATTCTTTGACCCCCAGAGTCAATTGGTTGGAACTCCAAGCAATGTGGTGCTGTGCGGTTGGCTGGATTCAGGTTGGGTTGCAAATTCGATTGGGGAAATTCGATTGGTTTGACTTCCAACCAATCCCCCCCAATTCAACCACTCTGAATGCGTCTGTATCTATGAAACCCAACCCCTGCCAATCTACAATGCTGTAAGTGACCTAGCAGCTAACGTAACCTAGAAACTTGATGAAATTTCTCTACCAGCACGAGTAATGTCTCGCTGGTTCCGTCGGGTAGACCACTACCCGATTTCGGGTCGGGTACCCGCTACCCGACGCGTCGGGTAGCATTTCGGGTACCGGGTAATGAATACCCGCCCGGGTAACCCGGACCCGACCCGCCGGGTAATATTCAGGATTTCCGATACCTGACCCGCCCTAAAAGCGGATCGGGTACCGGGTACCCGACCCGGGCGGGTAGTATGCTCAACCCTAGGGGAAAGGGGGGGGGAGGGGAGGGGGGAACACAAAACCGCAAAAACGCACCAGACATATTCTCCTTTGTATAATCTGTTTGGCATTGTGTTTTTTTCCGAGCAAGCACCTCTCCCCGCCCCTCACCAACCTAGCCTATGCTTCATCCCAGCCAACGAATTTGCACTACGCCGTGTTGTTGCTCTTGCCATGATGTGCAGGCCGCCCTTTCCTTCTTTGGCTGTTGGAAAGTTTCCCCCCGTGCCAAAAATGCGATGCGATTTAAAATCGCATCACGCTACTTTATTGTGCTTTTATGCGATTTCATCCCTATGCTGGCAGGATCCTTTGGAGAAATCAATTTAATGGCACGATTCCTGCCTCTCTGGGGGCCCTGGAGAAGCTTACTGAGATGTACGATCACCAGCAGTTACAGCGACAGGAATTTGTGTGTAGTTCTTGAATGTTGGGTTGGTATAAGGATATGGTAGAGGAATTGAAAGCCCTTCTTTTGTTGCTATTCCTGCTCGTTGGATCGTTGCAACAGCTGCATTGAACCACCAGATTGTATCAAAGCTGCATGCCTGCATTGCAGTCAAGGAGAAATGGATCGCATGCCTCTACTCTCAAAGCCACTGGCTGTCGCTGCTCTGCCAGCAGCAGTCCATGGATTAATGCAATTCTACTGTTGTCTCTCGTATCTTGGCAGCGCCAAGAAGGGCCATTAGGAGGACGTCTGATTCATCCCCCAGGTATTCTTTCGCTCTTCTGCTCCCCCCTTCCCTCCCCTCCCCTCCCCTTCCTCCTCTATTCTTGTCACTGCAGGCAGCTGGCATGGACAAACATTTCTGGGACCCTGCCATCCTCCATTGGATCCCTGACTGGGCTTGACACTCTGTGTGTAGCCACAACCCCTGACCCTCCCAACTTCGTCTTGACACTTGATTGCACTCATCCGTCTTGACACTTGATTACAACAACGTTCTGATTGTTCCCTTGCATCATCCCCGTTTGCGTGACTTCTACATACTCGTTCCATCTCCTCTTAACTTGCATCGACTGCTGTTTTGGGATGGCTAAGGGGTATGTGGATTAGCGAAGCAACTTGAGGAAGTGAAAAGCAATGAGCAAGTTGAGACGTGCTGACATAACCGTCTACCGCATGGGTAACAGATTGTGCTGCAGAGCGCTTCTCCTTGAACTGTCAAATGCGTTCTTTTCACATTGCTGACATCCATGAACATAGTGCCCTAAGCTCCATGCCTGCTACGCTGTGTGTGCAGGTACCTGGAGAGCATGTCGCTCACTGGCACTATCCCCCGATCATTCTCCAATCTTCAATCTCTTAGCCTTCTGTACGTGCAATCAAGCTGCTGGTACAACAATGGCTGCTAATCTCCTGTCATGTCAGCCTCTTGTGATTGGTCTTCACTCCCACACTCGTGTGATTAGCAGTCTCAGATTCTTTTTCAAGTGACAGAAGTCCAAAGGTACATGGTGCTGTAGCAACATATGCTGAAGAGTCTGCATCGTTATGTTGCACTTTGCCTCCCCATTCTGGCATCCATTTGGCAGCTTCTTGAACAACAATTCTCTCTCAGGCGAGGTGTTCAACATTACCAGCACCATGACCAGAATTATCACCCTGTATGTCATGCAAGAGGGCAGATGACTTCCAGCGAGGAGGCAAAGAGAGCACCATAATCTGAACGGAGGCACGTGGACCTTGTTTCGAATGTCGCTGCACGGGCCGAGGGGGCCTTCCCTGGCCCGTCCCATTCACACGGCCTTAGAGCCGGGGTCGTCCCCAGCCTGGCCCATCACTGGCCCGGCCCGAGCCTGTCCGCGGCCAGTGACCGGTCAGGGTGGACGACCGGACCGGCCCAAGCCTGGCCCTTTAAACACGAATAGGAGGCTACATCATTCCCTGTGTTTTCCATAACGTCTTGCTTGGCCTACCAGACAAACTTGATCTCAATGCTCAGCACAGTCAGCACTTCACCTTGCCTGTAAACACGGGCGCTTCATCCACTGTGCAGCTTCATCCACTGTGCAGCTTCATCCAACGTGCCTAGCTTTAAGCTTCCACCCAAAATCCTCTTCCATTATGTGCGTAATCCTTCACTTCGTTTCCCTGCCCCCAAAATGACGCCCTGCACTGCACCCACAGAGACGTGTCCATGAACCAGTTCACGGGTCGCCTGCCCGCGCCCCCATCGCCCCTGCTGCAGTTCTACTACGCGCACCGCTGCTTCTTCTCCCACGGTGCTGTCGTGCCGCCCAAGGCAAACCGCACCTTCTACGGCAATGTCTTTGAGAACTGCCTGACAAACGCCTCCCTGGTAGCTGGGGTGTTTGAGGAACAGCTGCGGCCGGAGGAGTGCTCCGCCTTCTGTGGTCAGGCTGCTGGGGATGCCAGGCCACTGTGCAGTGGGCATGGCGTGTGCTCGTACAACGCGTCTGTGCAGGAATCAGCGTGCACCTGCGATAGCAACTTCGACAACCAGGCCGGACCCCACTCCTGCACGTACAGCGGTATGCACTCTCTGACTGTATGCTTTTCATCCTACATTCGCTCCCTAGAATTACACCAGTTCCAGTTGCCCTTCCCTGCACTGCACCCAATCTGCCCCTGCCTCTTGCGTTGCTGCTGCAGTGCTCCCCTCCACCGAGTCGTCCCAGTCAACGGCGGTCTCCCTGTCTGCTGCAGCGACTCAGCTGTTCAACGGCACCATCATCCTCACCCCATCCGCCAGCAGCACATGGGGGGCAGCCGTGGTGCAGACGCCCATCCGCCTCTTCCACTTCATCGACAGCCCCGGCCCGTGCGGCACCCCCTTCGCCTTCAACGCCTCCTTCACCTTCGCCATGAGGCCAGCAGCGCAAGGCGGGGGGGGAGAAGGGCTGGCGTTCGTGGTGAGCGCGGCGGCGCCGCAGGGGTCTGCAGCGGGTGTGGGGCTGGGAGGGGTGGGGCGGCGGAGTGTGGGAGTGGAGTTTGACTCGGTGCTGAGTGTGAAGCAAAGCGACCCCAATGACAACCACGTGGGCGTCAATGTGGGCGGCTCACCTGTGTCCCTCGCCTCTGCCACGGCCCCTCTCATCCTCAATGACGCCCAAACCAAGCACGCCTGGATACACTACGATCCCACCAGCGGCGGCACTCTTCGAGTCTTCCTCTCCTCTGACCCCGTGCAGCCCCTCACCCCCACCCTCCGCGCCCGAGTGTCCCTCTGCTCCATCCTGCAGCCCACTGCTGCAGAGACCAACTTCTTCTTCGGCTTCATCGCATCGACATCAGAGAGGGCCCAAGAGAATGTCATCCTAAAATGGGAGATTGTTACAGGTGAGAGAATATCTGTTATTTGAAATGCATGAGATAACCAACTCATAGAACGACTTCCAAGGTACGTTGCAACAGCGCAATCACTAAGGACGCTTCCAGCGTGACACTCATTGGCTGAGAAACCGGGAATCTGCAGGAATGTAAACGAACTATGATGGTCAAGATGATCAAACCAATGCACACTGGTTTCTTTTGCACGCATTCGCATGTCCCTTTTACACTGAACCAAGATTAACCAAGCATGAACTAGAATGAAGTAAGCATGCGTCTATGCAAGAGATAGTGCTGTCTATTTTGTGATTTTAGTGCACGAGGAAACAAGAACAGAACTTGTTGATGGTGGTACGGATTCGCAAGAGGAGGTTGGGTGGAAACCCCAAAAGATATTCTATCTTGCATTCTGTATCATTAGATAAGGTGTAATGTAAGATGTTACACAAAAATAAGAGCTATCCTACACTCCAACACATTCCATAGACGGAATGACATGCTGGCGTTCCATTGTTCGTATTTATTTGGGGTCGAATCGAAAGAAGTGATTAATGCCATCTTTGCAAGCAAGGGCGGGAGAGGTTATTTAATGTGAGCCAACGCACCTCTTGCACATCCATGGTGTCAGCATATAGCTAAGCTAAGTTCACAAGAAAAGACAAGGGGTGCACCAGAGTTGAAGTGACAAGCTGATGCCGAGCAGGCTGGGCATCATTGAACGATGTTGACGAGTGAAGGCGTGTTCTCCAGGCTGACACGTCTCAACTCACTCAATTGTCCCTGGGCTGTTACATTGAAGAATGCTTTATGGGATCAGAAAATTCTTCTCAAAGTGTAGAGGCTGGAACATAACCCAACCGAACCTAGGGTAAGTCTGTGTACATCTTAGATTGATGAACCCTCTAGACTGAAACTTCAGCTAAATTTCTTGCAATAAGATACGTATACAAAAAACTTATTTTCTCAACTTTGGAACATACTGCAACACGCCCCATGCTATGTGAAGCTCTTCTATAGAACACTTACCGCAGGGAAACACCGGAGAGGCATACGAGGCCAAGGGCTGTGCACATGAGAGGTGGGGATCACAAGGGAGGCCTTGATGAAAAAGGTCAGCAAGGTTGGTGTCAGATGTCAAGCTGGCTAGCTCACGGATGAAAAGTGGTTGACGTCACCATGCTTGAGACGACCATGACGGACATGCTCATTCATGGCAGCTTCGGGTAGAACAGAAGAGTGATCTTTGTGGATACTCTGGACTGGACCATGCGGATTCGTATGCAAATCAAAGCTTTGATAATCCGTATGTGAATTAAAACACCTGAACCAGATATGACCTGTTTCCAGCTTATTTCCAGCATTGGAGTGTCAATAGTCAGGTGATACATATTTGTTAGGGTGTGCAACAATCTGTGTTCTCTTCCGCATTATTCTAGAGCACGTTTTTCTCCCTCCTCAATATGTGCCATTTTTCAGGCTTACCTCCACGACTTGCTCTCAATTCACAAGGTAAGGAAGGACAAGGTGAGCACATGGTGCACGAGTAGAGAGTTCATTTCATGATGGGCCAGTACTTGCTGGGATATCTCACTGGTCGTCGTCAAGGTCCTCCTTAAAACAACCTATCACAGTGAATTGAACTGAACGTTGCATCACTAACAACATCAAGCACCACGTGTTTTTGGCATCCCTGACACCACCAGGCCTGGCGCTGGGGTTTGTGTTGGACGAGGACTCCTTCTCATCTCAGGGATTCAACTCCGCCTTCCACTACGCCAGTGCGGGATTCGAGCCAGCGCAAAACAACAGCCCCTCATGGCTTGTCAAGTCTTTTGCTTCCTGGATGTTGCCCGAACCCATCTGGCCAGTCAAGAACCAAGGGGGCTGTGGTGAGTTACTTTGGGACAGGGGGGGGATTTTTCAAGGTATGATAGGCGTGCAACAGACATTCACAGCATGTCTTTTCCGGTAGTGCTAGCTATTCAGTTAAAAGTTGCTGAAACAATTGACTAACTTCATTTCTTGGGGAAATGCGTGGGGCTTGCGGGGCTGTGACTACAACAAAGAGACGACCTTGCTGGCGAGCCAAGTTGGCTCACGAGCCAGCCAGCTCGTCGAGCCACGACCCTGCTCGAGTTGCCCTACCTCTGGACGAGCCTCGAGCTGGGCACTCGGTCGGCATGGCTCTGCTGATTTCGAGCTGGTCGAGCTCGGCCCTCGCCCATGTCTAAGATAGTGGCCTCGTTGGATGGGACACAATGCACTGATATGGGCATGTTCTTTCTGAACCAAGGTGCTCTAGGAACCCTTCTCCCAAAAAAGCATTGCTGGCAGTATATGCAATGAAATGTCATTCCGGTGATTGTTTGTCAGCACAAGAATTCACATGTACATTGTTCTCCTCTCATCCCGCTTGTACCACCAGCGGACTCGTGGGCGTTCGCAGTGGTGGCAGCGGTGGAGGCAGCCCACAGCATTGCCAGCAACTGGTCGCAGCCCCCCGTGCTGTCGGTGGACCATCTGCGCCTCGCCCTCTCCTCCAACTGCGACGGCGGCTCCCCCACCAAGGCGCTGCAGTTCCTCCTCAACGCCACCAACCAGGGCAGGGGGCTGCTGGAGGAGGCGGTGTACTCGCAAGGGCTGGCACTCAACGGCAGATCTCTGGTTAGTGTTTGTCTGTGTGCTGTGCTGTTGGTGCAATGCTGTTTCGTGGTGTGATTCTGTTTTCGGATTCTTGTTGATGGGCTGATTTTGTTGTTGGTGTCAATGCCTCTTCTGCAGGCCAGCACGAGATACTATGGCATCCGGGGCATCGAGCGCACGGCCTTCTACGGGTGGTTTGGGGTCATGCTGGCAGTGCAGCGCCAGCCAGTCATTGTGCACATCGAGGCCTCCGCATCCTCCTTCCAAGACTACGATGGGGTAAGGCACCCTCGCTCAAAGAGTGGTGAGGTAGACTCGATGGGTGCGGGAGGCAAGTCTGGCATCGGACTGGGAGGGTCTTGCTTAAGAGGTAGCAAGCTTGGCGGCACAACATCACGGCTGCAAGTGAGGCAATGTGGAGGACTTGACTCTTCTTGACATAGGTAACCGCCAAATCCGCGCAGATCGGCGGTCGAAACAATCCGATCCGTGCATATGAGGTGGCGAAACTGACTCGGTCGAGTAAAAACAGACTGGCGAAAAACAAGAGGGGCGAGTCAAGGGTTTATTGTGACTTGAGCTGCGTCAAGAGGAAAAAAAAAAAACCCTTGAATCGTCAAAAAGAAGAGTCAAAGTTAAAGAGTCAAGTGGAAGCTCGACTCGTTTGACCATGACTAGTGATCACTGCCGACAGGGCTGGTACAACTCACAGTGACTGGTGGGGTACTATCGACTATCATCGTCGCCGAGCAACGGGGATGCTGTGATGACCCTGCTATGGGGGGGAATGGTTGCCTTCGAGGCCTAGGGTCTCTGTCCCTGCTCCTGATCTGTTGCTGCTGGTGCCCGTTGGTGACTGCCGGTACTGCTGCTCACCCCGTTGGTGCGTCCTTGGCTGCTGAAACTGCTCCTGCTGCTAACATGTTAAGTTGCATCCCTTGTGCTCATTCACCGCTTCCTTTCAGAGCGACACATATGCTGACGAGGGTTGTTTCACGGACCATCTCAACCATGCGGTGCTGGTGGTGGGCTATCTGGTGGCTGGAGTTGACTCTGCTAAGCCCGACCTGCCGCCGCCCTTCTGGATCATCCGCAACTCATGGGGCACAAAGTGGGGCGACCAGGGCCACATGCGAATGGACATTCGCAGTGGAGATGGCATCTGCGGCATCAACACTCTGCCGGGGCTTTTCCCCGTCGTCAGAAGTGAGGCCTCACTCTTATCTTCGTTGTCACTTCACATAACTTTTGTTATCTGCCGCACGTGTTTCCACTTGTTGTCTGTGTCTCTGTCTGCAAGTCTCTCTACAGCGCCTGCCGACCCTTGTCCTACAAGCAGGGCACACGGGCCCCCTACTTGACACGCAGCTTGACACGAAAGGAGTGAAATGGCATGAGGCAAAATTGACTCTGACACCAAGCCTGACCCCGGCCAAGAGCATACCCCAAGTGTGGGATTGTTTCCCTGCTCCTCCTGCCCGTGCCCCGCGTCGCCTGTTGAGCAGGCAATGCAGATCCGTGTGGGTTGCACTCCTTCAAGTACAGTCTTCTGGGCGCCACCTTCAACCCGTGTGGCCAGTTCCAGTGCGGCGCCAAAGGCGCCAGCAATCGCTGCAAGTGCACTGATGCGCGCTTCCCTCAAGTCAAGAACACCGATGGATCCTACACCTGTGCTTACGGTAATGTACACGTGTGCTTTACAAATGTAAACCTGTCCTTCTGTACACCTGTGCTTATGATAATGTACACATGTATCTATGCCTTTGTACCAACTTGCACTGATGAGCGTACTTACAGCTCGTGTGTCACTCTCTAGATGACAAACTTTTGTCCTTAGCACCTGTACTTCCAAGCCACGTTAGTGCTTTCATCTTCGCTGCCAACAAGTACCACTTGTCTTGAGTTAGCATACACTGCCTTGGGCGTACGTTGTGATGTGTTTCGCTTTTGATTCCCCTGCATACACAACGTGTTCCATGTCTTTGGCCTACGCAGATTCCAGCCGTATGCCCAACTTTCTACCCACACCCACCCCCATACTTAACCCTATGCCCGCCCCCATGCCCACACCCATCCCACCCTTGCGCCCCCCCCATGGCTACCCCCAGTGGACGTGTGTGGGTCCAGCAGTCGAAACCCGTGTGTGGTGGGCACATGTGTGAACGATGGCAGGGGAAGCTACTCCTGTGTGTGTCCCAGGGGCTTCATTCAAGGCACCATGATTGGTGGAGGCTTCTCTTGCACTCCTGGTATGGATGGTGCTTGTTTGCTTTGTTGCAGCCATGTCCATAGGACACCCACCCATAGTCTGCAAGTTTGTCACTGCTTCCTTCTCCTTGTGTTGCGAGCTGCCGCTAGCCATCTCAACCACCACACCAAAGCCACCACTGTTGGGATACCTGAGCCACCCGTTGGCCGAGCCCCTCGTTTGCATAAATGCTTGACCACGTGTCTGCATGGCACGGCAGGGCAGGCGCAGGGCACGTACACGGCTCTGGGTGCCAACGTGCTGTGCTCGCACATCACGGCTGTCTTCAGCCTGCTGCTCGCCAACTTCCTGCTGCAAAACAAGGTCAGCGCCGCCCACCACTCGCACTCTCACCAGATGCCAGGTCAGCTTCTCACCTCCCACCTGCCCACCATTTATCAGCAGGGCATACCAGCACTTTTGCGCTAGATCTTTCTTTTATCTCAATTGCTTGCTGCCTCCCGTGCAGGGTGTTTCATGTACCAAGCCTCTGCCCATCAACAAGAAGTTCTATGTTGTGTCCAACATCAGTGACTGCAGTGTCTTCTACAGCACCAATGCAGTACGTGCACCAATGCAGTACGTGCACCCTGACTATCTCCCACCCAGAAACTACGCACTCCCATCTCTGTCTGTGCTGGCTACTTGGTGCCTTGCCATGCCTTTTGCTACACTCTTTCGTTCCAAACCACTAATGCCCGTATGGGTTGCAGGATAGGGAAGTGATGCTGTCATGAGGATGTGCATTCCCTTGCCCCCTCCACTTTCCCCAAACCTCTCCCTCTCCCATTCCCCCCCAGGGCGACACGTGTGCGGGGGTGGGGCGGCAGGTGGAGCTGTGTGGGCAGGCGGCCTCGGATGCGGCGTGTGAGGCAGCATTTCAGGCGCTCAACCCCGCTGTGGACTGCTCGTCCCTGAAGCCCTCCCAGGCGGTGTGCGTGGAGAGACACCCCTCCAAGGCCAACCGCATAGCGGTGTGTGACGAGTATCATCGGCCGCAAGCAGCAGACACGTGTGACAGCATCAGGGACGCCGCTGCCCCTCCTCTGAGCGCCTTGGAGCTGTACCGCCTCAACCCCGGCATCAACTGCAACCAGCTCATTCCGGCGAAAGACTTCCACTTCAAAGGGTCCCTTGAACGAGAGGTATGCTGCCTGGCAGAATGTAACATGCTTGCTGATGGCCTGTGCAATCGAAGTATGTGAGGTTGCAGCCTTGATCATTTTGATGGATTCGTATTTTGTTGCCATTTCAGATCTGCACCAAGAGCTCAACATCATTTGCCATCGGGACCTGTCCAACAGACAACCAGTACTACTTCATGCCCACGGACACCTGCAACAGCGTCCAGATCACGCACTTCCATGGCATCAAGGGCTGCTATCGGAAGATCAATGGTTATGAATGCGTAGACAAGATGATCCCTGGAACAAAAGTCTGCCTACCGAACTATAGTAGTTCTCGGACTGGAGATTGTCGTTATTGAGGGTTGAGATAATGCATTTTACGATCGTGTTGGAGGCACTTTTATCCGCCAAATGTGTGAAATGAGTGCCCGTCCTAAGTGCATTGCCAAGCGGAGAAAAAAGGCGGGAAATTATTGAGGCCTAGCGAACGCGAGAAATTTAGGCGAAGACGGCGAAGTTGGCCAAGCGAAAAAACAACGATAAGAAAATAATGTAAAGGCATCCCTAAAATTAACACTAGATCGATGCACCACCCTTCAGCACTGTATATCCACTATCGGATACGTGTACAATTAGTTGTGAAGTGACCATTCCATTGACCAAGCAACTCAACAGTCTATCGAAGATCAAAAGACGACAGTTCAGGTGGATCGACACGACAAGCGAATCAAGCAGACTATACCGGATCTTACAGCTAACTATACGGGCGGTTACCAGAGTCGTGTATGGTTAACAAAGCAACTATGAGCAATTTCAGAAACCACACTCTGCGAACACTGCAAAATCTTCGGGCACACAATCGAGCGATGAAACTTCTACGCCGAAGCCATACCTCCCACTAATCACACGCCCCAAGGCGGACGGGCTGCCACCTACCAGGGGAGATTGATGGACTCTGTCTAAGAATAGCAAAATTGTTGGAAATATCTCAAAGGACTTGAGCGTTTCTGAAGTGTAACACTGCACTCGAGGAAGACTACAAGGGAGCACGCGAGTCAACGGAGGTTACATGAGGGGACGGACAAAGAATGCGAAAAGACTCGAAAGGTCGCAACTGGAGGTTGCGACTGACCGTTACAACATCACGGATGGTAACCGAAGCGGCAGTCGAGTCGCTGTGCGACTCGATAAACCGTTCCTGTAACTGTACTCTACAACTGCTTTCTTATCTTCTATATATTGCTGTATGCTTGTTTCTTTAATCAATCACTTGTTCTCATATACTAGTACAAGGGTTCAACTGCCTCAACTTCCGCTGCACTACTCAAAGTCTCAAGTCTCTACAAGCTGGGACTTAATCTCTGCAAAAGATCCTAAGGGCTTTACTCAGCCCAACATGGTATGAGAGCTGGTCAGAGACCAAACTCCCAGCAACTGCGCTCCATCAACAAACTGCAACTCAACTCAATTCAACGACTTCATTGATTACAAGACATGGACAGCAAGGGCAAGAAAGTCTCTACGGGCTCACCCAGCGGCCAAGAAACTCAACACGGCAACTCTGGTCTGCACACCTCAGGATTGCAGACAGAGACCGGGACTGCTCAAGAAACAACAGGAAGAGTACCAGAGATGGTGACTCCGTCTCCCTCTTCAAGTGTGGACCCGAATCTCATGGAGAGATTCTTCAGCTTCATGTCACACTTCGACCAGCAACAACAGACAAGGACACCTGCGCATTCAACACAGAGCAATGGAGGAAACATGGGATTAGCGCCGATGAGCCTCGACAACTCATCCTTCGGGCGACACAACCAAGCGCCTACCTTTGCGCCTTATCACTCTTCACCGGGGACGTTCGAGTTTATGCCACCCCGTGCCCAACCAACAGCAGCTGCATCACAACAAACACCAAACGAAATCTTAAGTCTCCAGGCGCAGTTCTCGCACGTGATAAAACTGCAGACATCCTCACCGTTCAACGGACACGACTTCTTTACCTGGAGCTTCGAGTTCGAGCTGCTGATGGAGGCCGCGCATCTTCTGGGATACTTCAACGGGTCCCTGCCATTCCCAAGCAACGGCACTGGAAAGGAACAAGAAATCTTCACGTATCAGTCGCTGCTGGCGTATACGGTTCTCCTGAGAAACCTGTCACCACAAGAACAGCAGAGCATCAGAACATACAGGAGCTATGGAAACTCCGCGGAGCTCGCATGGCACCATCTCAAGTGCCTTTACCAAGCAAACGACAGCGTGACACAAAGCAGACTCATGCAACAACTGACAACAATACAGATGAAGACCGGGGAAAAGGCGATGCAGTATATGAGTCGCTGCCAGACCCTCCGCGACCGCCTGCTTCGATGCGGAGGAACAATCACTGAAGAAAGCTTTGTAACACTTGTCCTCGCCGGGCTCGGGCCAGAATGGAGAACCACACGATCGCTTCTTCGCGCCCACGGAAGGATTTCGGAGATGCACCTCTGCGCCGAGCTTCACGCTGAACAACAGGAGATGGACCTGTTCGAAGAAAGACAACCAAGAAAGCAACAGCAGTTAGTCTTCTACACTCAACGAAGAAACGACAACACCTACAATCGACGCGGCAAGCAAGAACGCGACAACAGGGGACTTACCTTCGTGCCGCCGTTCTGCCACAACTGCCAGACTTCCGGGCACTCCAAGGTCAACTGCAACCGCCCTCGCGTTTGCCGTCCTGCAGACCCACAAGTCGCCTCCACTCAAGCAAGTCCCCCAAGGCGCTCTTCAACATCTGCACAACAAACACCAAACATTATCAATTGCATGGTACACATCGACAACTGCGCACCCGGATCACCACCCACCTACGCGCCAGATGAAGAAGAGCTGTCGCCACCGCGCTCACAAGGCCTTCAGGTCAACCCGACATACGCTGCAGTCGCCAACGCCGAACCCACCGGGCGAAACACCTGGTTCTTGGACAGCTGCTGCGGTCAACACATGTGCTCCTCGGGACGCTTCGTGCAACAGGAGAAACGCCTCAACCGCGACGTCGTCATCACCGTCGCCAACAACGAAAACCTGAAGACAAACAGACAAGGCGTGGTTCAGTTACAATCCATGGAGACAAACGTCATACTTCAGCTCAACAAAGTGCTCATTGTCGACAATCTGGGATACAACCTACTAAGCGTAAGCCAACTAATGGCCAAGGGGATTCACCTGGAGTGCGACTCCTACTCCAACGAGTTTCGGCTTTACCACGGGAAGGACGGCCTCTTCATCGGTCGTGCCCTCCTGAAGTCCGGCGTCTTCGTGTTGGACTTCGTCCCCGACCGCGGTACTGCCGACAGCGACGGTATCGTATCGTTCGCCGCCTGGACTCACCCGCCGGATCTTGATCCCGACTTCGACAGTGACGGCTTCTGGCACTCCAACACCATACCTGCAGCAGAGAGAACACGAGCATTAGCAGTTATCAGACAAGAAAGACAAGTACCCGCAAGTATCCCAACCAAACCATCACCTGCAGTATCGGCAGCAGGACCCAGCCGAGTCCCACCACCAGCGACCCGAGGACCGCCAACCGAAGCAGACCAGCTTATGCCCATCACACGAGAAGTTTGTCGAAGTCCCGCCTCAGTCGTCGCGTTCTTCTCCAACGCCGACATCTACCATCGCTCGCCCGGTCATCGCGCTTCCGACGACATCTGGCACCAACGTCTCGGACATCCTGCAAACAGCACGATACTACAAACAATCCAAGCAGAGGTGTTAGAACGCAACGCCCTTCTAACGACGAGCGGCCAAGAACTTCGACGACCACGAGCACGATGCTTCACGTGCCCCGAAGCAGATCTTCCTCGTCAACCTTTCCCATCTCATCACAACCCAAGCGCACCTACTTACGCTCCGATGGAAAAGGTCTACAGCGACATTTTAAACATGCCTCGAGAAGACACCGAAGCCGACTTCAACTACGTCATCACGTTCATCGACGCAGCAACCAGATACGTTTGGCACTTTAATCTCAAAACGCGCGATCAAGCCTTCGAGGCCTTCACCACATGGCTTCCCATCGCCGAACGAGAATCAGGAACCAAGCTCAAGAGCTTCCAGTCAGACGGTGCACTGGAATACCAGTCACAACGCTTCAGGACCTATCTGGCGGAAAGAGGAATTTGACGCCTGGTGTCTCTGCCCTATGCTCACCAGCAACAGGGGGTAGCAGAACGCATGAACCGGACCTTGCAGACGACGATGCGAAAACTACTGCTGGGGATGAGGCTGCCCACCACACTGTGGCCAGACGCGATGACACATGCCGTTCACCTGCACAACCTGCTGTCCTCGTCATCACTTCCCAACAACGCATCACCGCACCTGTTGTGGACAAGAAAAAGGGGCAGCACAAAATTACTCCGAGTTTTCGGCTGCATGGTACAGTACAGACCCCACACAGCCCGAGCAGGACGCTTCACACAACGAGCTCGGTGGGGACTACACCTCGGCATCGCAAAACATTTTCACGCGTGGAAAATTCTCGACATACAAGACAAAAATACCGTGGCATCACGTGATGTGATCTTCTACGAACGACTGACGCTGCAGCATTACCTGAACAACATTGCCAACACACAAGACCCCACCGACGGCTTCTCGGGACTTCGTTCCTTCGCCGACCGTGCTGCCGAAGCTGACGCAGCAGAAGAAGACGTACCTGAAGCCTCGGAAGCTGCCGGACCACTCCCATTCTGTTCCGTCCCTGTTCCACTCGACGAAGACAATCCTCTCGATAGCAACAACCTCGACACCTTTTACCACTTCGCTGACCAAGGTTACATTACACCCCACCCAGTCGACACAAATGTTTCAGAACGCATCGGTCCCAACTTCTTACCTGACCCAGAAGACGGTGACGAAGCAGCTTATTCCGGGAATGAAAATTCCCCTCGACACACACCCACGGGACTGCAGATTCTAGGCCTCTGGGTCTCCGTCCAGCATCCGCCGCCGCCTTCTCCGCGTGAGCCCTCGACCTTGTCGCAGGCTCTGGGGGGGAACATAAGGCAAAATGGAAAGAAGCGATGGAAAAGGAGTTAAAGGCTCTGCAAGACCGAGAAACATGGAAACTGGTACCTGCAACAAGCATCAACGGGAAGAACGTCCTCTCGGGGAAATGGGTGTACCGCATCAAGACCAACTCAGACGGCTCCATCGAACGATTCAAAGCTCGATGGGTCGTACGAGGCTTCGATCAACGATACGGAACTGACTACACAGAAACCTTCGCTCCAGTCTCCCGTCACACCTCATTACGCATCCTACTCGCCGTCGCGGCCACGAAGACACTACCACTACGCCAAATCGACGTCGCCAATGCGTTCCTATACGCACCTGTGGACGCTGAGATTTTCGTCGAACAACCCC